TTGAGATGAACTAACAAGATTTGTGATGAGTTTATTTATTATTCTGATTTATACTGCTGCCTATCTCATATGTATGACTCTGGATGGCTTACAAACAATTATTAACACAATAAAAGCAGCAAAAATAATACAACTATTTAAAAACAATTAAAAAATATATATAAAAAGCATATTAAAAAGCCTTCATATTATTACATTGGTTATTGCCAGTAAGTATTTCTTGGCTGCACATATATTTTAAGTATGAATTAATGTTAGAGGTGCAAAAGAAATTTGTTTTACTGTATTTTGTTTCACTTTTTAAAGTTAATCTGTAAAAATAACATTCTTGCTCCTTAAAAGACTAAAATTAAGATTAAATTTAATGTCTGCCATATTATCCATGTGTTAGTAGTTGTCTTGCTAAATATATGTACATATTTGTTTTATGCATTCTGTATCTGAAATGTTTTGCTGATATCCTATATAAAGTACTGCTGTTATTTTTATGTTCTTAGTTGCCTGTCTTCCAGCCCCAAATATTACTTGTAAAGATTTCAGTGGAAATGAAACTCAGTTTACTGGAAAGGAAATTGGATTTTATAAGCCTGTTGAGTGTCGAAGTGTGTAAGTGATAACTCAGTTTAATACATAAGGATTCAATTGCTAGTAAGCATTTGCTGTATTAATTATAGAACTTAATTACACATTTGTGTATGTACCTAAATTACTTTATTGTTTTAAAATGTGTTGCAGTCCTTTCCCTTCAGTTCTGTTAGAGATTGGAGGACTGATACTAGACCTGTCTTAATTAATACCTGCTTTACTTGATCATATAGCTATCATACTTGGGATCAGAAAGGATCAAGTCGTAGGAGAGTAAAGATTGTTAATGGATTGTGCCTGTCAATGGACAGATTGAAACTTAATCCACTTAATAACTATTGGTTGGAGAGGAGGGTAGGAGACCTGTTTGGAAGTCAAATTCTGGGTATGTTAAGTCAGTTAAATTAATTCTGATTGCAAACTGATAGTAATGTTTTACAGTCACTGGTGGGTCAGGTTAGCCCTGCAAGCAGACACAGCTGCTGTTTTTCATGGGGTAGGAACATCCAAGCTGGGCTACTGTAATATATAATATGCTCAAAAATTTGCTTAAAGTGTACCAAATAGGGTTTATCATTGTACTTTATAGAGAATTATTTAAGACATAAGCTTTTCTTTAATCTTTGAAGTGGTAGTCATATGTTGCTGCAGCGGGCTAACGTGGTTTGTGCAAACTGTAGGTAACATGTCACTCTGGTGTTATTCCTCCTTCATTGTCTAACAATTTGTTTCTGGGCCTGATTCAAGATGTCAGTAATTTGATTGTAACTCTTTATGTGTTACTACAATTACATTTGTGCATGACCAACATTGGATAACTAGAAATTTGGATAATAGATCTGAGATTTAAGGATTTAGTGAGAATTTTGAAGTCACACAAGAAAAAGATGTAAAATTTTATTTGACTTGGTATTAATGTACTTCTTTGGTCCTAAAGCATGTAATTTGAAAATCAGGGAGCTCTTTTGCAGATATAGTATGCCACTAGAATGAACAGATGAATAGATGCTTTAATAGAGAAGACTTAGTCCAGATATAATTCATGCAGCTACTTTTTATGAATTGAAGTAAGTTAACTGCTTTTATCAGTTGCTATGTGTAAAGACCATTTCTGTAAACTATTCAGGACTGAATTGATAGAAATTATGCAAAGTTTTTTTCCCCATATTTTATATAGAAAATATAGAGAATAAAAGATGTAGAACTACAAATAGCCTTGCTATCATTTAGGGATTGAATCTCATTGGCTAGGTTTTGCCTCCTTTGTCTTGGTTAGTTTGAGCTCTGTTCTCTGTCTTTGCAACTGGCACCTATGAGACTTTATGAATAGTGGGGAGCACCAAACTACTAATCTAAGATTTGGCTTGTAGAATAGTCAAAGTTCTTAGCATTTTTTGCTCTTATTTTTCGAATACCACATGATGTTTGAATCATAAGAGTGCAAAAAATGCTCTTTTGGAATGCGAGTTTGTTACTTTTACCTTTTATGTCTATATCTGGAAAAATTATAATGCGTCTGTCTGAACTATGGTGCAATGCAGTTTGAAATATTTTTTGGAAGTAGATCAGACCAAGATACCTACTGTAATACAGTTGCATGAGAAAATATTGAGGTATGCAAATCAGTAAAAACACTAGCTTGTTTTTACTTTGTTCTACAAAAATGACTATAGTAAGTAAAACTGCCTTTACTAGGCTTGTGTTTGTACAAGAATAGCCAAGTCTGAAATTGTGTTCAAACCCTGAAATGTCTTTCTTTGTTGCATGAAACATTAACACTCTAATAGTGGAGAAATCATTCACTCCTTTTTGTATTATTGTTTGGTGTTAAGCATAGCTGGATTTCCATTTGCTTAAGCTTTGACAGTTTGAAAGTTCCGATGTTAAATAATTAATAGAGTGAAGAAAATGAATTCAAAAATTGATTCAGCAATTTTCTCTCATATTTCTGTTTCTAGAAATGGTTACTCCTATAAAGTAGCAGTAGCTCTGTCTTTGTTTCTTGGCTGGTTGGGAGCAGATCGGTTTTATCTAGGATATCCTGCATTAGGTAAGTACATTCTTTTAAATATTAGTCTATGTGAAGGTTAATGGCTCTGCATTAATTTATTTATATTCCATTTGTATTCCGAAGTGACTATCAGTGGCTTACATAGGTATCAAGCCAGAATGTTAAGAGGCTGACATATTCAGCAAACATGGAAGAGATCATCCCAAAGATCATTATATTTTTGTATTTCATCAGACAATAAAAAGGATGAGTAGGATATTCTAGATTTCCTTCTGAGTTGCACTTGAAAAATTAAAACATTGTCCAGTAAGCATCAGCAGTGTTAGCTTATCACGTGGATATCTTTATTTGTACCATTTATATATATTTTTGTAAAATAAATGCTTTTCCCCCATAAAATAAGGCTCTTATTAGAAAAAAAACCCCCTTATAATGTATAGCAGATTAGGAATGGAAGAAACAAGGATTTTAACTGTTCTACCTGACAGTTTGAGATACTTTAAAAAATCAAGTCATAGTATTTTGCAAGTAATATTTTAAGATTTCATGATATAATGCTTAAGCAAAAATTATATGGTTAGAAACCCATGTCTCT